CCCCACCATTCAGATCATTTAGGAGGCTGGCTTCACCTGGGCTGAGAAGGATACAACACTCCAGCAGAATGACTGGGATACTGGATAGAAGTTCTCACCACATGGGAATCAAACTCAGATCTTCTGCATGGAAAGTGCTTAAACACTACACCACAGATGCCAGTTGTTTGTGAAAGTTTTAACCCTCCCTACCCACCCCACCCCACCCACCTCATCATCACAATGTTGGAGACAGGCCATATCTATCCTGCCTGTGACGGCCGACCCAGGCTAAGGGCAATACAGCATTCCAGCATACAGATGGGAAAACTTGACGAAAGGACTTCCCCAGTCTAGCACAAACTTATGTCCTGTGAGGGCACCCGTGAGGAACCTAACCATCACAAATCACAGACACCGCATAAAAGAAGGATTAGATGCAAAAGAAAACCAAGCATGCTGCAGGCAATAGGGGAATTGACAGAGAGGGGGGAACAGGTGCGGAAATAAAGTCCCGCATTGGAAAGGCACAGGCTGCATTTATTTCTTTGAGCAGGATTTGGAGAACCAGGGATATCTCATTACGAACAAAGCTCAGAATTTTCAACTCAAATGTGAAGTCAGTCTTGTTGTATGGATGTGAGACGTGGAACGCATCCCATACCTGCATAAAGAGAATCCAGGTTTTCTTGAACAAGTGCCTGAGGAGGCTGCTGAGGATCAAATGGACAGACAGGATCACCAACGAGGAAGTACTAAGAAAAACCAGACAGAGCCCGGTCAGAGATGAGGTGGGAAGAAGACGTTGCAATGGATTGGACACACTCTCAGGAAGTCAAGCAACTGCATAACAAGAAAAGTGTTAGATTGGAACCCACAGGGTAAAAGATCAAGGGGAAGACCTCGTGGAACCTGGATAAGAGTCACGGAAATGGATGTACAGAAAAGTAAGAAGACATGGAGTGACATCAAGCGACTAGCCCAGGATAGGGAAAGGTGGAGAGTGTTTGTTCGTGGCCTATATCCTGACCCAGGGTGAGAAAGGCAATGATGCAGGCAATACCTCTTTCGTTAATTTGAAAGTTCCCCAGTGAATTCCAACCGACTTCTTGGACTTGAGATCATTGTGGATGTCTACGGCCTGTGCTGGGTCCACATGCTGGGGGGACAGAAAGTCTCTGGGGGTGGGGGGAGGGGGAGGGTTTGAAAGCAAAGCGTAAAACCAAAATGAGAGAAGAACGAAAGAGACCAGGGAGAAAGAGTGAGACCCCAGACAGAAAAAGAAAGAGTTATACCAGAGGTGGAAAAAGAAAGAGAGACTGGAGAGAAAGAAAAAATCGAAAAACCAAAGAGAGAAAAAGAAAGAGAGACAAAGAAAGAGTGAGACCCCCACAAGAGAAAGAAGCCATAAAAATCTCATCCATCACAAAATTTGTATCCCTGAATTACTGGAGAGAGAGAGAGAGAGAGAGAGAGAGAGAGAGAGAGAGAGA